AGATGTCACTGTTTTTTACCTCAACTTTGACCCTGCGCTTAATATAATTACAGGAAAAAAGTTACTGACGGGTTATGTATAATATCAGAATTTCTGTTGTAATCGTTCATTGTGATCACATTCCATTTTGATGATTTCTCTTCAAATTAAAAAATACTATCCATCATCTCATCAGCAACATTTTTTCTCGCTAGTGTCATGGTGTAAATGATATTAAGTGATGATTAACAGGACTAACCACCACAAAAATAATCTCACGTATAAACAACCAGGGAAGTAGGTGTAGTCGTATAGGGCTACAATGCCGTACAATTCTGTTCTTCACTTAACGAGAACTTTTTTTTGTTACTGATGTGCTTTAAAAAACTTGCTTGTTGGTATTTAAATTCACAAAATGAGCAGTTATATTACTATTTTAAATGTATATTGGAATAAATGTTCATGAATTATTTGAATTTGCAACCAATTTTAAAATATCTATCTCATGAAGTCTCATCGTCATCTACTGCAGCTTACATGTGATTACTTGTGTAGACTGATCTGTTCATCTTTATCATGATTAATCAAACTGCATACTGTATTTGACTTAATAAGTGCACCGTTCCTAATAAAACTCCTTATTCTGATCTGAATGTCCTATATCTTCACCGTAACTGACAGACTGACTCAAAAAAAGTGCATGTGACACTATGTTTTGAGAAATGGGAAAATTTCTGCAGTCATTTTAATTTTTCAAAATTCCGAAGTGTCAGGGCAATTATTGGGTTGAATTCTGTATCATGTGATGTAAGTATGAGATCAACATACATTCTTTAAAGATAATTGCCCAGTGATGATCAATAGATGATTTCTCCCACTTCTTAATCTGATATCTCTGCCAATCTGAGATTTCAGATTAACAGAGGTATCAGATTAACAGAAATTTCAGATTGGCAGAGATATCAGATGCCAATCTGCAATCTGAAATCTCTGCCAATCTGACATCTCTGCCAATCTGAAATCTCTACCAATCTGAAATCTCTGCCAATCTGATATCTCTGCCAATCTGAAATCTCTGCCAAAGGGAGGCACATCTGGGAATCAGAGGTTCATTGAGATTAGAGGAATCTTTACTTTTAAGTTTGAATGAAGATACATCATAAAGACATCAGTTCAATATATATCCAGCTTAAACAAAACTTATAAAAGATTCTTCTATGCCCTCGATTGATAAGATGGCTTGATTCCAAAAAAGAAATTAAGTTGGATATTGGTTTCAGCAAAGTGTGTATTCCTACATGAGAATTGCAATTACAAGTTCTTATATATGTTTCCACTTGATCTGGGTTTTTTGTAAAATAGATTTTCAAATGTTCTGTGATTTGTTTCTTTAATTTTGTTTACACTGAAGAACAACATTATTGATTTTGTATATCTACACCTACTCTAACCCTTACACAGTCACTAATAGATGGAAATAGTATCAACCGACCTGAGATTTAAATGGATGGAATTATGATCTTAATGTACATATCATATAAAGCCAAAGAAATTGCTATCTCATATGCTTGGATTGGAATCAATGTATTCTGATACAGACTATAGGAATTCTTCAGTGAAATTAAAGGGCATAGTGGTGAATGACAGGGACGAGGGTTGATTCCCATACAAGCGTCCCTGCCTGGCTCTTCTGTGAGACATATATAATGTATGCGTGGTTTACCTGTGGAGATCTGTTGTTAGACTAGATACACGACTTGTATTCTCACCAGGGAGGAACACATTCTCAGGTAGATATAAGGCTGTCACTTAGAAATTCAGTATAAAATAAGTGGAAGTAATTTCATTACTTGTTGACATGTAAAAGTTAATTTCATATTTCCTTTCAAAATTTGTTAATAAATAGTCATAAACACATGTACAAGGACCCTGGAGTGTCATGGATGTTCCATGGATTAAGGAATTTTCTTAACCTACATAAGATTTTCCATTGGAAAGCATTCTTTGAGTTAGAGAAAAATCTGAAGTTAAAGAATTGATCTAAGTCAGAAATGTTCATTAAATTGGGGCAAGTATATGTTTAACACTTAAATCATGAGGATGTAATAAATGTGATAGTTCTGGTATCTTTGTATTAAATGTACATTGTATGTAGATGTAATGGTGAAGTTATGTATGAAGTACATAACATATGAGTACACAAATTGGTACATGGCTTCCACTATTTGTGTATGGAAAAGAAGATTTATTATTGCATTCTTATCGTAAATCATTGCGTATGATAAAGTTATATGTATGTGTCAAGAAACTGAGAATAGTTTCCTGAACAAAAAGTTCTGTTTGAAGAGATTATAACAGGAACTGGAATATTAGTCTTAATAGTAAAAACAAGTGCCTGTACTCTGAAAAAAAATAGAAAAATATTCAAAATTCTCTGAACAAATGATCGTGTATCTCAGGTGAAGATAGAGGTATCCTTAGGTAAAACAGTGTTCACATGTGGACATGGCTGTATGTCTGACATCACAGAGAACGCAATGATGTCATATTGCATAATTAGATGACATAACATAGCTGGTAGCTAGGCTGGCATAAACAGCTTTTTTGTTCAACAAAAGAAATACTCTCGAACTCCTAATCACTTAAATGTTGATCAGATAAGACAGAAAAAAGAGTCGATCACTAATATGTAAGCTTGAATGGTAAAAGTGTGTATCCTTCGCTGTAGAATTTGGGGGGTTTGTTTCCATATCACACATATCAAATACCATGCTTCTCTATCACACATATCAAATACCATGCTTCTCTATCACAGGTATAGAGCTCCTTAATTCGTTATCAGCCTCTGATCATCTCAGCATCCTCATTCTGAATCAGACCTGCTGGAATTACCTTCCTCATTTTCAAGCTGAACATTTGAGTACTTGATCCTCATTTTAAATCTCAAACCTTGCCAAATTCATATTTACCCTCATTTACAAGCTGACACGTTGAATTAATGATCCACATTTTGAGTGTGAGTGGCTATAAGGATCCCCGTATCACGGTCAAAAACTGTAAATTAGTGTTGGAAACTGCTTTTTTCCAGCATGTCTATAGTTTTGATAAATAATTTCTGTTAAGAAAACCATCCGTTACAAGATTTTTCTGAGAAATATTAAAATTGAAACGAACAAATATGATCAACAACAGTGTTATGAGTGTAAAAATTCAGTGGGGCTAGACCGGATATAACCCTGGACTTATAATTCAGTTGGGCTAGACCCGATATAACCCTGGACTTATAAATTCAGTGGGGCTAGACCGGATATAACCCTGGACTTAAAATTCAGTGGGGCTAGACCCGATATAACCCTGGACTTAAACTTCAGTGGGGCTGGACCGGATATAACCATGGACTTATAATTCAGTGGGTCTAGACTGGATATAACCATGGACTTATAATTCAGTGGGGCTAGACCGGATATAACCCTGGACTTAAAATTCAGTGGGGCTAGACCGGAGATAACCCTGGACTTATAATTCAGTGGGGCTGGACCGGATATAACCATGGACTTATAATTCAGTGGGGCTAGACCCGATATAACCCTGGACTTATAAATTCAGTGGGGCTAGACCGGATATAACCCTGGACTAAAAATTCAGTGGGGCTGGACCGGATATAACCATGGACTTATAATTCAGTGGGGCTAGACCGGATATAACCCTGGACTTAAAATTTAGTGGGGCTAGATCGGATATAACCCTGGACTTAAAATTCAGTGGGGCTAGAACGGAGATAACCCTGGACTTATAAATTAAGTGGGGCTAGACCGGATATAACACTGGACTTAAAATTCAGTGGGGCTAGACCAGATATAACCCTGGACTTATAATTCAGTGGGGCTAGACCGGATATAACCCTGGACTTAAAATTCAGTGGGGCTAGACCGGATATAACCCTGGACTTATAATTCAGTGGGGCTAGACTGGATGTAACCCTGGAGTTATAATTCAGTGGGGCTAGACCGGATATAACCATGGACTTATAATTCAGTGGGGCTAGACCGGATATAACCCTGGACTTAAAATTCAGTGGGGCTAGACCGGATATAACCCTGGACTTAAAATTGTTATGCTTTCACTCCAACAGAATGAGCTACGTATACCTGGTCAATGGATGTTACCTGGCCAACTTTTTTAACAGTTATATCCAAACGGAAGTTAAGGTCATAGGAGAGTATTGCTAAACGGAAGTAGGAAGTACATCCCTAGTTGAAAATCCAATGTAGGGAGACAGTATCACAATTTCCGCATATTCAAATGTTTAATATCAAACTGATGAATATTGTATGCTTATTATTGACAGAACAGTGTGTTCTTTCAATATTAAAGTATTTCAAAGCAATCCAGGCATTAATTCAGTTGTTTTTTGATCAATGAGTCACATGTGTCCATTTTTCTGTACTTCAGGAAACCGGCTACCTATTTCACTACTATGAAGTTTTCCAAGAACGATAACTCATTGCATGCAGTTACTATGTGTATATGGTTTTATTATAAAATGTCAATTTTTAATCGTTTATAGATGATTAATTTTACACAATTTCAGCATTTATGAAATAAATATACATTAATGCAATACTAATCTATGTTAGTATCATTTTTATTGACATAATTTTGCAAAAAAATGTGTGTTTCAAGTCTTTTTTCAAAATTCAATCCTTTTTACATTAATTTCCATTTAAAATCCTTAAAATTCTGACAACCTATATTTTTTTTGTGGCAGAAAATTTTCCTTACTTCAAAGCAATATAACTACAAAATTTGAATAAATTCTACTGAGAAATGGCGACACAATCCTACTACCTTAAGGGAAGGTTACTGTTTATCGGAAAAAACACGGTGCAGTGAGACAGGGAAGGGAAGTTAAGGGGAGATTAATGTAAATAGGAAAAACCACAGTGTAGTGGGACAAACATTCTTAAGTGTCATATTCTTATTCCTTATTTCAAGTTATTTGTTTATACTTCTGTTTGCAGGCCTCCAGAAAAAATCCCTTGGTACAGTATTATTTGTATCTTAGACTGGCGCATGACGCCCCTATCATTGTCTTGTTGTTTAACATTTTATTTTGGTGATGAGAAAGTGCATGACACTCCTATCACTGTCATGTTGTTTAACATTTTATTTTGTTGATGAGAAAGTGCATGACACTCCTATCATTGTCATGTTGTTTAACATTTTATTTTGGTGATTAGGAGAGGATTTTCTATTAACACTAGCATGTTCTGTTGGAATTTTCTACTTGAAAAAAAATAACAAAAAGCAAAGCTTATTTTTCCATGTCAAGTATCGTCATACATTTCGTATGAACATTTGTAATTACATGTATTAATTTTCTAAAATCTATTCACAGTAGTTGTTTAGAAATAGATTTTTAAAAACTATTTAATTGGTTACTGAAAGAACCCAGTTATAGAGATTACGACTGTAATATCAAAAAGATATATATATCTTTCTGGGAGCTTTTAAATAACATTTCTGTAGAATAAGATCTTTTTATACTGCCACCATATGTTCAGTAAAATATTGGCATCATAAAGGGGTGTAGCAATGTATTGGGATGTATAAAATAGTTAAGTAATAAGGAAAAGAGGATCTTGATACATATGCTGAAAGGAATTGGGGCGGCTAACTAAAACAAGGGGCATAATTCATTATAGCTAATTTTTACTGCATGGAACAATTTAATTAAAATCAGATCCGAATTCCCGTTCCTCTACGATACTCTTACATTCGGATCTGATTTTAATTAGATTGCTGCATGGAATTACTTGTAGGAGTTAATTTCATGTTTTATTAACCGTTACTGTATGTCAAATATTGTTTGATTTAAACCAGAGTGAATCTGATACATAGTTTTAAACTGTAAGCTACTGTGAAAAATGTCTAAACCCTATCCTGTATAATATTGACACCTATTAAAACCAGGAAAATATTTCATCCAGCTTCATTTTACAAGTCAAACTTTTCAAATTCAACATTCTGAAAACTGTATGGAGAGATAAAGGCATTTTTTGTGAATATCTTACATGAAGTTGACTATCTAAAAGCCAAGGATATACAAATTTTATTTTCAGTTTATTAATTATATAAATATATTGCTAGTTCAAATTTTATCTCTAAGCAGCATTAAGCTGACAACACCTAATACAATGTGGAGTCCAGATGCGCAGGTTGACGTGGTCCATCGATCATTGTGTGTACATTCTATGTCATTGGAATATTACTGATCACAGTTGTGTTTGGTTTAGACAGGAGTTACTGTTATGACTTTCAATATAAGTGCTAGTTTTAATGGCTAGAGAACCTGTTTAACTCTTTAAAATCAATGTAGCTTCTGCTAAAATCTAAAAAAAAATGTGTTTGTATTGTTAATCAAAGGGATCCCATCTTAAACATATAAAATGACTACTATTAGAAGGAAAATTTCAACTCATCAAAGGGGTGCAAATCTAGATTAAATAAACTGAAGTTTTCATTGAAGTTTTCCTAGCTCCTGCTTTATATAATCTGATAAAAGGTTTGACTGACCAAATGTTTTGAATTCAATGTGTTATATTTTGTTGCATGGTTTATGATTTTGAGATTTCTGGATTTGATTAACTGCTTGAGTTTAATTTGAGTGGATGATTTTGTTGAATATAATGCATGCCTTACGATTTGATCAGTGTAGTGTTCAGTACAGTGATGTTATAATCTTTGTGTGCTTTATATGTCATATATTTTCTCATAGAATCAAGCTGCAATGAGATTAAACAGAAGTTCACAATACATACTTATTTACTACACACACTGATTCATGGTAATAAAAACATCAACAGGCTGTGATAAATAATGTCTGACGATGGTTCTTATAGTAAATCCATGGTAAACTGATAATGAAGCTGGCCGTGACAGAATCAACTCTGATATCTGACACTGCATCTGTGAGTGGAGTAAAGTAATGTATGGCTTGTGAAATGAATGTTCCATGAGAAACTACAATAGAATGTGTTAAAGTGTTTTTTTGCATAAAGTTGAAAACTGTTAACAATCTTCTTTTCAAAATTTCACAATGTGAGAAAAGTGAGTATTAAGTGGCTGTAGAGAAAGGATTGTAAGTCATCATAAAGAGCAGTTCATGGGTCATCATAAAGAGCAGTTCATGGCTCATCATAAAGAGCAGTTCATGGCTCATCATAAAGAGCAGTTCATGACTCATCATAAAGAGCAGTTCATGACTCATCATAAATAGCAGTTCATGGCTCATCATAAAGAGCAGTTCATGGCTCGTCATAAAGAGCAGTTCATTGCTCATCATAAAGAGCAGTTCATGACTCATCATAAAGAGCAGTTCATGACTCATCATTAAGAGCAGTTCATGGCTCATCATAAAGAGCAGTTCCTGACTCATCATAAAGAGCAATTCATGGCTCATCATAAAGAGCATTTCATGGCTCATCATAAAGAGCAGTTCATGGCTCATCATAAAGAGCAGTTCATGACTCATCATAAAGAGCAGTTCATGGCTCATCATAAAGAGCAGTTCATGGCTCGTCATAAAGAGCAGTTCATTGCTCATCAAAAAGAGCAGTTCCTGACTCATCATAAAGAGCAGTTCATGACTCATCATTAAGAGCAGTTCATGGCTCATCATAAAGAGCAGTTCATGACTCATCATAAAGAGCAGTTCATGGCTCATCATAAAGAGCAGTTCATGGCTTGTCATAAAGAGCAGCTCATTGCTCATCATAAAGAGCAGTTCATGACTCATCATAAAGAGCAGTTCATGACTCATCATTAAAAGCAGTTCATGGCTCATCATAAAGAGCAGTTCATGACTCATCATCAAGAGCAGTTCATGACTCATCATTAAGAGCAGTTCACGACTCATCATAAAGAGCAGTTCATGGCTCATCACATGACTCATCATAAAGAGCAGTTCAAGACTCATCATAAAGAGCAGTTCATGACTCATCATAAAGAGCAGTTCATGGCTCATCACATGACTCATCATAAAGAGTAGTTCATGACTCATCAGAGTCTGAAATAACATTGGGTTTCTTCTCTCTTTATAACAGTCATCTGTCTAGTGAAAAAATCAAATAATGACATAAACACTGTCTTGATGGGATGTGTATGATATATTTGCCTAATACATTCAATTGGAAAAGCAGTTTTTAACATCAGACATGCATAAACATGTTTTTAACATCAGACAAAAACATGTTTTGAATCATATTTAAAACATCTTATGGTTGTTCTGTGCTTAGCACCGAGAAAAATAATTTTGAAATAAAATGAGGTTCCTGAGAAAAGGATTCAACAAGTAAAATGATTAAAGAAAATTGCAAAAATATCTTCCAGGCTGTTTTATGAAATTCAACTAACAGAGTTCATAGGTTCCTGGATTAATCTTGAAACAGGATGTCTATTAGGAGAAATTGTGTGTCATTACTCTTGAAATACACAGGAGGTTGAAATAAAGTGTCTGTACTTTTAGACTGTAGGCGATAACCCACAGCCCAACAAGTCACGCTTCACCATTGTTGAGTTACCAGGACTGGAGAAGCTAACAGACGACCCCACAGATCTACGCCAACGTGAAGGGGCTAGTTTGAGCAAGGCCCTAATAGCCCTCAACGCAACTGTCACATCGCTGGCCCACAACCCTTACCCTGACCGGGTTATCAATTACAGGTAAGGTTGATTTCCCACAATTCCTTAACAGATTGGGTCATCAGCTATGGGTAAGGTTGATTTCCCACAATTCCTTAACAGATTGGGTCATCAGCTATGGGTAAGGTTGATTTCCCACAATTCCTTAACAGATTGGGTCATCAGCTATGGGTAAGGTTGATTTCCCACAATTCCTTAACAGATTGGGTCATCAGCTATGGGTAAGGTTGATTTCCCACAATTCCTTAACAGATTGGGTCATCAGCTATGGGTAAGGTTGATTTCCCACAATTCCTTAACAGATTGGGTCATCAGCTATGGGTAAGGTTGATTTCCCACAATTCCTTAACAGATTGGGTCATCAGCTATGGGTAAGGTTGATTTCCCACAATTCCTTAACAGATTGGGTCATCAGCTATGGGTAAGGTTGATTTCCCACAATTCCTTAACAGATTGGGTCATCAGCTATGGGTAAGGTTGATTTCCCACAATTCCTTAACAGATTGGGTCATCAGCTATGGGTAAGGTTGATTTCCCACAATTCCTTAACAGATTGGGTCATCAGCTATGGGTAAGGTTGATTGCAAACAACCCCTGTACTGATTGGTTTATCATATCTGGATAAGTTAACTAGAATTTAAGGACTAAAACTAATACTTGAAGGAGAAGGAATAGGTGGGGGTAAATATTTAAAAGACGACACCTCAAGGATGATTCAAGAGATTTTACTCTCTTTTTGTAAGAAGCATCTCTGGACCTGTGGGATTCAATGTTGAATAAACAAAGGATGTTAATTGTCCCCTGGGGGACAGAGAGGTAGTGTCGAAATGGGGAAATGGGGTTAAATCTCTTTTGAACAGCTACTCCTACAAACCTTTTCTTTCCTTGCAGTGAATCTAAACTGACCCAGCTGCTGAGAGAGGAACTTGGAGGAAATTTCAAAACGCGAGCTATTCTATGTCTAAAACCGCATACAGACCAAAGAAATCTGTCCTCTATTCTGACGTTTTGTACCCGGGTGTCACAAGTGAAGAACTTTCCACTCATCAACGATAGTTTTGCCCAGGTATATCATTAGAGCTATCTTTGTCATTTGAGCTGTCTTTGGCCTCTTTCTCATTGGAAATTAACCATTTTTTTGTGGACACTGAAATGCATTCAAGTGGTGTAATAATTAGAGAGTTTACATAAGGTATTTAAACACAGGGTAAACTTATTTTTAAAGTTGAGAGGGATTTTATACCTTGTAATAATTTTACATTCAGAATTTGATCACACAATACCGAGCCCGCATCCTTGACCTCCAGCACCAGGGGGGTGTCGGCCCGTCACCGATGTCAAAGATCACCAACCTCAATGACATCCAGGAGACCATCCGGCAACTGCAGACGGATAATGTATGATATGATAGGCAGTTATTAAATCACAGATACTGGCTAAAAATATGTTTTCTTAAAAAATAAATAGTACCACCTCTAACAAAATATTTCAAACTCCTTCCCTTTCCTTGTCAAACCTCCTCAAAATATCAAAATGTTACTGGAAAAACAGTGGCAGTATATCAAGGTATTAATTTTTATCTTGTAATCATGTTGCTTTGAAGTGCAATTACACCGTTATTTATATCTTTACAATAAGTAAAATGTGTAATATCATCCATTGTGACTCAGAAGAAAAAATACATTAAAAACTAGTTCATGGCGTTTTCTCATCTGAACTAAATAAACATGATTTTGCTTTTGGAACATATGGAAAAACAACCTCACATTCCTTCCTATTCCATTTGACTTTGAAGAAACTAGCTAGAACTTATCATAAATCATATGTAAAAAATACTCTTTATGTTATGATTAATTTACAGTATTATAAAAATCTTAACTTCATGTAATCTCTATTTAACAGCTGAGGCTGAAGGATGAAAATGAAAGGCTACGGAATCGATATGATTCTGTCCAGAACAAGTTTGGCAACATGGCCACCACCAAGACGGACCTGTCTCAGCAACTGCTGCTGACAGAGGAGGAAAAACTTAAGGTGAGAGGGCAAGGGTTAGAAAACAAAGATCACAGGGTAAAGGTCAAGAGTAGGTCATTACCAAACAGATATTTATAAAAGGTCGTACAAAGGTCAAGTATTAGAATATCTTTGATGAGGTCATATTTCAGGGTCCTAAGGTCAAGGCCAAAAGTTCGCTGTTGCTATTTATAGGTCAACCACGGGCAAGGGGGCATTCATAGCTCACTGACATTTTATAGTTTTTCTTAATAACGTTGACATAGTACCATGTATCTCGTAACAACAGACATATCATTTACAGTCCCCGAGAAATTAGTTGTCTACAGCAAAAATATGTTAATAATAAATTCCAGGGGACCTGAGAAATTAGTTTTTTCTTAAGTAAAACATCTTTACAATAAAGCCCAGGGGACCTAAGAAATTTGTATTTATAGAGCAAACACATATTTATGACAATCCCAAGGGCCATACAAAATTGTTTCGTCATAGTTATCTTTTGTGAAAGAATTTAAAGATCATGAGACACTTTCCAAGGGACACAAATTTGATTTGGTCTGAAGCATGGTTTTGCGATAGGCATGTTTTACTGTATACAAGTATTAATTAGACAAAGATAAGGGTTTATCCTACTACATGTACTTCTTAATATATCGTCTTTTATCAGTAAGGATCAGTCATTAGATCAGTATTTATATATACATGTAATATCAGACTGACCACCAAGTATTTTGACCAGTGTGTTTAATTTTGACCACCTCTGTATTAACTTGCTGTTGTTTTATGCAGGTTTCTCAGTCTCTAGTTGAAATGCAGATAGAAAACAACAAACTGAGGGAAGAGGCTGAGGCGACAAAGTTTGAGCTCAATAACAAGGTCAGTTAGTTACAAAGCAAGAACAATGTAGATCATCAACCACTGTGGAGAGTCAATAATTAGCCACTTTTGTTATCAGCGAAAGAGTCTGGAATCGTGATCCAGCTGGGTTACTGGCACAATTTATAAGGAAAAGTGTTAATTGATTCCACTGGGCTGGATAGTGGGACAACCAGATAGTAGGACAACCAGATTGTAGGACAACTGGATTGTAGGACAACTGGATTGTATGACAACCAAATAGTAGGACACCCAGATACAACCAGATAGTAGGACAACTGGAGTGTATGACAACCAAATAGTAGGACACCCAGATACAACCAGATAGTAGGACAACCAGAGAGTAGGTCACCCATATAGTATGACAACTGGATAGTAGGACAACAAGATACTAGGACAACCGATTAGTAAGACAATTGGATAGTAGGACAACCAGATAGTAGGACAACCAGAGAGTAGGACACCCGGATAGTAGGACAAACAGATACAATGAAAGAGTAGGACAACAAGAGAGTAGGACAACCAGATAGTAGGACAACCGGATTGTAGGACAACAAGATAAGAGGACAACCAGAGAGTAGGACAACTAGATAGGTTAACCAGCTAGTTGGACAACTGGATAGTAAGACAACCAGATAGTAGAACAACTAGATAGTAGGACAACTACATAGTAGAACAACCAGCTAGTATGACAACCAAATAGTGGGACAACTAGATAGGATAACTAGATAGTAGGACAACCAGATAAGATAACCAGATAGCATGACAACCAGATAGTAGGACAACCAGATAGTAGGACAACCAGATAGTAGGACAACCAAACAGTAGGACAACCAGATAGTAAGACAACCAGATAGTAGGACAACTAGATAGTAGGACAACTAGATAGAATAACCAAATAGTAGGACAACCAAAAAGCAGGGCAACCAGATAGTAGGACAACCAGATAGTAAGACAACTAGATAGTAAGACAACAAGATAGTAGGACAACCAGCTAGTAGGACAACCAAATAGTAGGACAACTAGATAGTAGGAAAACCGGAGATTAGAGATGGCTGAATGAACAAGATTTTACTGTAAACAGTTGAATGTGTATGGCATTTGAAAACACATGTAAGATGTTTTGACCAAAGAAATTGAAAATGCAGTTTCATTTGTAATATGCAATTGATTATGGAAGTAGAATGTGAATTTGACGTAGAAACCAACTATCTCAATCTCTGATCAAACCATCTGATCAGCAGAAAGTACTGTGCTAGTATGATATGCTTTTTGTTATTTCTCCTCAACCAGATCCTGTTACTGCAAAGGGCGGTGATGGAGGCAGAGAATGAAAGAGATAGGTCGGTGAAGGGAGCAAGATTTGCAAAAGACAGAGTGGTAGAGATGGAAAAAGACAGAAAGGATTTAGCAGATGAATATGTGGTCCTGAAGACAAACTATCTGGCATTGGTTAGAGAGCATGATAAAGAGGTAATAATGGAATTTGTTTTATTTACTTTACCAAAGTTAGGGATCTCAGGATCTGTCTACATGTATTCTCCTAAGGTGTTTTTTTCATTAGATTATATTTCAGCAAATAATATGTGAATGCTTCATTCCTGTCTTCGTGTGCATAAAACCTTTGTAAGTTCATAACTCTTCAATTTGGGAGGTATAAAAATGAAAATTGAATAATTTATTTGTTCCCACAGACAAAAAAGAATGAAGAACTTAGCATAGAGGTCCTCAACCTGGTCAATGCCAAGGCGGCCCTCATGAAGAAACTACTCATCGTGTCGGGTGGAGACAGTAATGTGGGTGACCCAGATGCTGAGATCAGCAGGGTCAAAGCCCTTGTCATCAAAAACTCCTCAGGCAGGGTCAAGGTGAGTTATAGGTCAAGGTCAAGTCTTACCATCAAAGTCAAATACTTACAAGATAACTACAGTCAATGAATACCACAGTAATATTTAGATTGTCAAATGGTAAACATGGTATTGGTTTAAAACAAGCATGATCGAAATTCAAGGAAAGATCACGGTCAAGAAATGACACTGGCTTGCCCTGTACAGCCTTGACAGCAGCTGTAAATGGGCTGGTATCCAAGTGTCTCAGGAAGAAGACATGTGGGTCCTGTATCAGAAATATATCTATAGTATAAATATGTATGAAAGTTAATTTGGTGGTGTCAAAAGTGAAATTTTGTGTCTAAATTTACATATGTATAAATGTCATTTGTTTATTTGTTAAGTAAACTTGCTTATAAGGAATCAAACTTCAAATATGACCATAAGACTTTGAATAAAATTTAAGGGGTTATATTGAAGGGAGATAATTCAATGTCGAGACAAATGAAGAGGTTGTAATAGCAATAAAATTCAAAGGGATGTCCCATGAAGTTTTATCTGAGAAGAAAGTAAAAGATATTTTTTAAGTTTTCCTATCCCCCATTTATCATACTTAATCCATCATTTCATTTTCCAATTAATACTGGAAATTTCCTGAGGTGTTATGCATTTGGATAAAGAAGCAAGGAGTGGGTTTCCTTAAGTGTTTCACCCATAGATTGATATACATGTCACTACCTTGTATCTCTCATGTAAACTTTGACAACACAAACGAGTGCTACAGCACAATACTTTGTGACATCAGACTAAATATAGTGGTCCCACAGGAGAAACATATGTGGGGATTTGGTAAAAAAAATGCCTCATCTTTTATCATAATCATGTTAAACATGAAATTAATAAAAGTTTAATTAATAAAATGAAATTACTAACTTAACATCAAAACTATAAATCAGTGGAAAGCCTTTATATGTTTAATAACTTTTAAGTGTTTAAGAACTTTACCATGCTGATTTGGTTATTTTTCAGACTGATGAAATACTTGGTACACAGACGGATCGAGCTAACGTAGAAGACTCTGTAAGTTATGTTTTGCAGACAGTCTGTGTAATGCTCGTTAAAGAGACCAAACAATTGTTGACCATGATGTATCCTCACATTGAACACCAGTAGTACTACAGTCCTGTTTTGAAATGCCAAGTCACTTAGTCTGTCTATGTTTCTGTTCACAAAATCTATTCTGTATGATCAAGTTCTGGTCTCCTAAATGCTTCCAAACTTCACATATGTGTTGATCATCATTTAAGAACGACATATCATTTTAGGGAGTATGACATTAAGGTCAAGGTCACAGTTACTGATAATTAGATCATAAATAAATTCATGTCTTGGTAATAACTCAAGGTTCTGATAGGATGAACACACTCAAACTTAAAATGTATACCATATATTACCAGGACTGACCTCTGAGCGCCTTTTAGTTTATTGTCCCCGTTACATATGATACTTGTACTGTGATATTATACATGTTGTCTTTGTCTTGCCAGTTGTTTAACAACAAGAAGCGATATGACAAAGATTTGGAGAGGATGAAACAGGACCATGGTGATGAATTTAGGAAGTTTGAATCCAAATTGTAAGTTTTCATTTTAGCCCGCCTGATTAGAAACATCAAGGTGAGTTTATGCTGTACCGTGGCATCTGTCTGTCAACAAGTTCTTCATACAACTTCTTCTTCATAACCACTCTTTGGAATTTAACCAAATTTGATTGACTGGAAGCAATTTGACCTAGGTGTCGTGTCGAGAATTAACAATTGTAGAGATGGACGGGCTGATATGGTAATTTTGCCGTATTACTTTAATTGACTTCTTCTTTGGAACTTAAACATGGATATCAACCGTATTTTATTGGAAGCATTCTTGGGTGGTGGGAACTCCATGGAGGGGCTTAGGAGCGAGGCCAAAAAGGGGTAATTTGGCCATATTGTTTTAAGCGACTTCTTCTCTGAACTCAGATGGATATTAGTCATATTTGGTTGAAAATATTCTCAGGTGGTAGGTATTCCAAACTGTACAGGGGACATAATTGTACCAGTTAAAGGGCTGACCCCAAGGGCAGAGGGGTACTGTGGGGCAAAAGGGGGTTTTGACTTATTATTAAGATCCCAACCAAAAAACCATATATACAATTGCTGAGTATAAAGAGATGGTGGAGGTAAATGAGTGTGCCCAGAGAAAAACCATCCAGCTGCGGCCAGTACCTTGCAACTGCCCAGCATAGGCCTCAAACTGCAATCCAGTGTTGGAGAGTTAGTGATTATAGATGGTCAGGCACTTGAACCGCTAGGGAATCTGTTTCAGTTTCTGGGTCACAACACGGAAACAGTGGAGATCCACCTTATAACCATATATACAATTCCTGGGCATAAAGAGGCAAATACACATATGCTACCAGGATAGCCATGGGATCTGGCCTCTTGAAAACTTATTCTATAGGGCATTTAAATCGATGAGATCCCTACCCATTAACCATATATGCAGCTGTGGATTGTTAACAGACAAATACATATTTAAAGCTACCAGGATGGTGCCAGGGACTGGCCTCACCCTTGGAGACTTAGTCCCTGGGTTATAACATTGAAACCATTGAGATCTCCACTTGATAACCATATATTCAATTGCTGGGCACAATCATTCTACCAGAATCAGCTTAGGGGTCTACTCCTGCCCTTAGGGACTTTATCCCTGGGTCATAACATTTGAGATCCCCACCCTATTACAATATATATACAATTGCTGAGTATGACCCTTATGCAGTGATCTCAGTGTGTTGACCTCTGTGTAATGACCTCTGTGTGTTGACCTCTGTGTGTTAACCTCTGTGTGTTGACCTCAGTGTGTTGACCTCTATGTGTTGACCTCCTGTAACCTCAGTGCATTGATCCATTTGTTTTGTGCTGCACACAGAACTACTCTACAGAAGGAGCTGAATGATTCCAGGAACTTGGCAAGAGACAGACAGAAGAAAATGGCAGAGATGAATGCGGTAATATAAACTCACAAATATTAATTGTACACTAACACATGGGTGTATATCTTTCTCAGTATGACTTACTCTGATAGATCACAGTAAATTGAAAGCTTTTCTCTTTCTTGTAGTTTTATTTTTTCCTCGCAATTATCTTTATTTCTCTGCCATTAAGATGGGCTATTGTCCAATTAATATTTTCTCACTTTACCTCATCAAAATCTTTTATTTTTCAACTCTTCCTGGTCAGATCGCATGTTGAATCTCTAAACAAGGTATTTTTGTCTCCTTATTTCAGTCACTGATTGTGTTGCGCGGTGACAAGGAACAACTGGAGTTGTTGAACAATCGTCTACAGCACAAGGTGAAGGATCTTGGTGAAGATTACAGATCACGACTCATCAAATACGTTGAGGATATCTCGGTAAGTATGTACAGTAGAAAGCTAATTATCCAAACCCAAAATGAGATATATCCGGGTATAAATGGTTCAAACACTAGGGGTGTTTAGATAACCAGCTACTAAAACAATTTATTAAGGCAGAAGACCTGATTTAGAATAATCTAGATAATTAGGGTTTGGCTCTAACTTAACAATGTAGGCTTCTTTTAATCACCTGGGACTTGTGTAAGAAATATCTTCCTTTATTAGCTCTCCTTGCCTAAAACTTCAGTAGCATTGGTTTGTCAAGTCAAATGATTTGGCCTAATTTTCCTGTGAGACGTTAACTTTTGATAGGGGTTAAGGAAGAGATGGACAGGTTTCACATGACCAAACACTCAATGATATATAAATTGGTTGGACAATCCTTTTAACATGAGGTCAAAAACCAAGGTTAAATATATATTGTTTTTAATAATTATTGTTGATTGAAATAAGATATATATCCTTTCCAAGTCTTATGTCTGATTATTGTGAAAGATGAGACTATATTGATCAAGGATTATTAACCGATGAAATGATGATTTCGCTTTGAGGTCAAATGCCAACTTTTTGAATATTCAAAACAGATGCAGCCTCCTTTAAACCTAAAGAAGGTTACCTGAAAGGATAAAATAATATTACAAAAACATGGCTGCTGCAAAACCAATGCAAATTTAAGAATCAATCGCACCTTTAGTTAAAAGATGCATGTAAGTTATTTTATATACCAATTTAAAAAATAATTCATTGACACAATTTTTTCCTTTCGACTTTACAATAAAAAAAAATGCGAAATTTTACCTAAGCCAGTTGATTTCAAAGGGGGGTAACTCTTTCAAAGAATATTTTAAAAAAATAGCCTGGAAATCTATTCTCAAATTTTGTTATTTTGTTAGGTACACCCCAAAGAACAATATATGCGAAGTTACAAAAAAATCATTGTCTAGATTTTGTTTTGCCTCTAGTGTCCTTCTCTACCTTAATACTCTCCCTCACCTTAGTCTTTAAACCCATGCTCTTGTTTATGGTATACATCTAGAGGCAAAGTCAGCATAAAGAGGGTGAATTACACTTATAAAACATAGAACTAACCATGTTGTCTTGAGTTTGTATCATAGAAAATGTTTTATGTATAAGTAACCTCTTTTTATGTGAATAAAGTAACGTTCTTCTTGCTGCTTTTGTCCATTTCCAGGAGTATGTGGACAAGGGCAGTGGTATACCAGACGGACGGTCAGCCACGCAGATGCGGGAGTACATGGACAAGATGGTGAAGGACATTACAAGGTCACACAAAGAACGCGAGGAACAGTTGAGTAAGGCGGCACAACAGTACCGAGAAAGACAGAAACACCTCATTCACAAATACGAGGAACTACTTATACACTACAGGTGAGTTGATACAGGTGTGTCAGTAAGAAGGGAGATACCAGTCAGGGATATTTATACACTTCAGGTGAGTTGATACAGGTGTGTCAGTAAGAATTGAGATACCAGTCAGGGATATTTATACACTACAGGTGAGTTGATACAGGTGTGTTAATTACGAGGGAGATACCAGTACTGATCAGATACCTATACCCTTCAGGTGAGTTGATACATGTGTGTCAGTAAGAAGGGAGATACCGGTCAGAGATATTTATACACTTCAGGTGAGTTGATACAGGTGTGTCAGTAAGAAGGGAGATACCAGTCAGATATATTTATACACTTCAGGTGAGTTGAGACAGGTGTGTCAGTAAGAAGGGAGATCCCAGTCAGGGATATTTATACACTTCCGGTGAGTTGATACAGGTGTGTCAGTAAGAAGGGAGATACCAGTCAGATATATTTATACGCTACAGGTGAGTTGATACATGTGTGTCAGTAAGAAGGGTGATACCAGTCAGAGATATTTAAACACTACAGGTGAGTTGATACAGGTGTGTCAGTAAGAATTGAGATACCAGTCAGAGATATTAATACTTCAGGTGAGTTGATACAGGTGTGTCAGTAATAAGGGTGATACCAGTCAGAGATATTTATACACTACAGGTGAGTTGATACATGTGTGTCAGTAATAAGGGTGATACCAGTCTGAGATATTTATACACTACAGGTGAGTTGATACAGGTGTGTCAGTAAGAATTGAGATACCAGTCAGAGATATTTATACACTTCAGGTGAGTTGATACATGTGTGTCAGTAATAAGGGTGATACCTGTCTGAGATATTTATACACTACAGGTGAGTTGATACAGGGGTGTCAGTAAGAAGGGAGATACCAGTCAGAGATATTTATCCACTTCAGGTGAGTTGATACAGGTGTGTCAGTAAGAAGGGAGATACCGGTCAGAGATATTTATACACTTCAGGTGAGTTGATACATGTGTGTCAGTAAGAAGGGAGATACCAGTCAGAGATATTTATACACTACAGGTGAGTTGATACATGTGTGTCAGTAAGAAGGGAGATACCATTCTGAGATATTTATACACTTCAGGTGAGTTGATACAGGTGTGTCAGTAAGAAGGGAGATACCAGTCGGAGATATTTATACACTACAGGTGAGTTGATACAGGAGTGTCAGTAAGAAGGGAGATACCAGTCGGAGATATTTATACACTACAGGTGAGTTGATAGAGGTGTGTCAGTAAGAAGGGAGATACTAGTCAGAGATATTTATACACTTCAGGTGTGTTGATACATGTGTGTCAGTAAGAAGGGAGATTCCAGTCAGAGATATTGATACACTACAGGTGAGTTGATACAGGTGTGTCAGTAAGAAGGGAGATACGAGTCAGAGATATTTATACACTACAGGTGAGTTGATACAGGCATGTTAGTTATGACAGATCTAGAGATGACAGTCCCGATGAAGTTCAGAGCAGTTGACAGACTTTGAATCCTGGTGGGCTCAGGTAGGCAGGGTTTGATCTCCTATTGTTAAGAACGTGTAAACTGCCAGGGATTTAAAACAATGGTAAATTGTTTTGTATACAGATCAAGCTGTGTATTTTTTGTATTTGTTTCGTCTTGTATTATAAAAGCAATAATGTGTTTGATATAATATTTATTACAACATGTACCAGATCTGGACTATGTCATTCACTGATTATCTGATAGTTAAGTTGGTAATTTGTCTTAAGTTTGCAGGATATGAGTTTACATCCCAGTTTGGCTCATTGCATTAATCCTATTGGTTACACATTCTGTTTTTCAGATACCTACGACTTATGTGTGAGCAGAGAGGCATAGATGATCTGGACATGGGTCCTGACGAACAGGAGATTAGTATGACAGACTCGGAGATGACCTCCGCAAACCTGAGGGAGATAGCGAGATTGAAAACAGAGCTCAGTAAAGCCAAACATAACGCATCCAATCTAAAAACCAAGGTAGGCACTGAAATGTATTTGTAGGGGAGCTTTACACACCTCAAGGCTTCTGTTGTTTGCCATTAGCAAATGTCTGACTGCATACTTTTCCTGCCAACAATTGACACAATCTAAAATATGAGACTGTAAATTGTTTTTGCATAATGGTTTTAAAGCTCTTAAATCGCTTAAGTCTGGTGGTCAGTTTGCCTCTCTTGAATCGCTCAAGGCAAAGCTCTCTGCTTTTAAATCGCTTAAAAGCTTTCTTTACTGCTTATATATATGAGTATCTTATATGCAGCTCTTGAATCGCTTAAGGGTTTGCTCTAGATATCTACATGTATACTGTCTTGAATCGCTCAAGAATTTTCTATCTTATATGCAGCTCTTGAATCGCTCAAGGGTTTGCTCTAGATATCTACATGTATACTGTCTTGAATCGCTCAAGAACGTTCTATCTTATATGCAGCTCTTGAATCGCTCAAGGGTTTTCTCTAGATATCTACATGTATACTGTCTTGAATCGCTCAAGAACTTTCACTAGATATTTACTTTCGGCCTGTCTTGAATCGCTCAAGAGTTAATTGTCTGGCCTACTTAAAATATATTGCTGAGAATATATTTTTTGTTTTTCCTTGTGGCCTCTTTCTTTGCTTAGGAGGCTACCTCGTCAGTACATGTTTGTTTTTGTAGTATTGTATATAGTTAGCTTATTGTGTTGAGTGAGTAGCCCCTGATACGCCAAAGTATAAGTTTGTATTTTCTTTTATCTTGCTATCTGCCTCATTTAAATATCTCGAATTGTAATAAACAGGTAAACTGTTTTTTCATCGTTTTTGTTGTATATAAATATTGTTTTGAAATATGTCATCATGTTTTAAAGCGTTAAACTTTGTAAGGAGTACAGTTATATTGTGACAATATCAAGTCAAATAATTTATATGCATTTGTATCTTTCCTTATAGTTTGGAGGTGATTACGGCGAGGATTCAGGAAGGTGAGTTGAGGATGTATCATTAGGGCCATACATTTCATTGGTAGAGTACAGAAATCAAAAGATCAGAAAAAACATCATTGTGTTATGATATTACTGGCAGCTTTTATATATTAATGTTGTTAGCCCCTTGCAACAACGTTTGAGTGGATAGAGGGTTCTGCCCATTTTCACATATATACCTGAGACAAATTTGCATTTCAGTGCCCTGTGCTTCAGGTCAAGGTAACTGTTGCTATATTTATAAGAACATTGTCCTCACTCTCTTATTTTTATTTCTCAACTAATTATGTTAGGTAATGTTGTACTGCTGAAAAGTTCACGTTTCACGGTGCTGCAGTGAAGGTCAATTTACTGGTTATACAAAATCTTTGTCGTCCCCCTAGTGATTTGCTGTGGTCAATGCAATGTCTTATAAGCGTCAGCTGTAGGGAATTTCCCTTCAGCTCAGTGGTAGAGCCAAAGGTCGCAGGTTCGAGCCCCAGCGATGGCACTATTTTTATCACTAATCCTCGTCCTACAACAAACTGGTGCCGTGACCATCATGCAGGATTCTCACTTTTCATGCCTCTGTTCATTCATTGCATAACACCTTGGATGCATGGTGATTTTCTATTGATGATTATACCATCATTTCTATTATGATGTCTGTTGTATTGGAAATCCCCAGTGTGATGCAGTGCCCGGGGCTGTAATTATACCTCAGGGATGAAGTTGTGGGAGGGTATACTGGAATCAGGGGCTGTAACTATACCTCCTGGATGAAGTTGTGGGAGGGTATACTGGAATCAGTGGCGGTGATTATACCTCCTGGATGAAGTTGTGGGAGGGTATACTGGAATCAGGGGCTGTGATTATACCTCCTGGATGAAGTTGTGGGAGGGTATACTGGAGTCAGGGGCTGTAATTATACCTCCGGGATGAAGTTGTGGGAGGGTATACTGGAATCAGGGCCTGTAACTATACCTCCGTGATGAAGTTGTGCAAGAGTATACTGGAATCAGGGGCTGTAATTATACCTCCTGGATGAAGTTGTGGAAGAGTATACTGGAATCAGGGGCTGTAACTATACCTCTGGGACGAAGTTGCGGGAGGCTGTACTGGAATCAGGGGCTGTAACTATACCTCCTGGATGAAGTTGTGCGAGAGTATACTGGAATCAGGGGCTGTACTGATACCTCCTGGATGAAGTTGTGCAAGAGGATACTGGAATCAGGGGCTGTAACTATCCCTCTGGGACGAAGTTGTGGGAGGCTGTACTGGAATCAGGGGCTGTAACTATACCTCAGGGACAAAGTTGTGGGAGGGTATACTGGAATCAGGGGCTGTAACTATACCTCTGGGACGAAGTTGTGGGAGGCTGTACTGGAATCAGAGGCTGTAATTATACCTCCGGGATGAAGTTGTGCAAGAGTACACTGGAATCAGGGGCTGTAATTATACCTCCGGGATGAAGTTGTGCAAGGGTACACTGGAATCAGGGGCTGTAATTATACCTCCGGGATGAAGTTGTGCAAGGGTACACTGGAATCAGGGGCTGTAATTATACCTCCGGGATGAAGTTGTGCAAGAGCATACTGGAATCAGGGGCTGTAACTATACCTCAGGGACAAAGTAGTGGGAGGGTATACTGTAATCAGGGGCTGTAATTATACCTCCGGGACGAAGTTGTGGGAGGGTATACTGGAATCAGGGGAGGTAATTATACCTGTGGGACGAAGTTGTGGGAGGGTGTACTGGAATCAGGGGCTGTAACTATACCTCCGTGACCATGTGTTGGGAGGGTATACTGGAATCAGGGGCTGTAACTATACCTCCGGGATGAAGTTGTGGGAGGGTATACTGGAATCAGGGGCTGTAATTATACCTCCTGGATTAAGTTGTGGGGGGCTGGGTGGGTATACTGGAATCAGGGGCTGTAACTATACCTCCGGGACGAACTTGTTGGAGGGTATACTGGAATCAGGGGCTGTAACTATACCTCCGGGATGAACTTGTTGGAGGGTATACTGGAATCAGGGGCTGTAACTATACCTCAGGGACAAAGTTGTGGGAGGGTATACTGTAATCAGGGGCTGTAATTATACCTCCGGGACGAAGTTGTGGGAGGGTATACTGGAATCAGGGGCTGTAATTATTCCTCCTGGATTACGTTGTGGGGGGCTGGGTGGGTATACTGGAATCAGGGGCTGTAATTATTCCTCCTGGATGAAGTTGTGGGAGGGTATACCGGAATCAGGGGCTGTAATTATACCTCCGGGATGAAGTTGTGGGAGTGTATACTGGAATCAGGGGCTGTAACTATACCTCTGGGATGAAGTTGTGGGAGGGTATACTGTCAGCCTGTATAGTTACAACATTGTTCAAGCTATCCCTCCCAAAGTACTGCACTGATTTGAATCATGCGTAGTACACATGAGATTTATATTGAAGTGATGTGAATAAAGTCAATAGCTTGGAGTATTTAAGGGATGTTAATAAAGTCAATAGATTGGAGTATTGAAGGGGTGTAAATAGCATAAATAGATTGGAGTATTGAAGGGGTGTAAATAAAGTCAATAGATTGGAATATTGAAGGGGTGTAATTGACCTCAGTAGATTGGAGTATTGAAGGAGTGTAAATAAAGTCAATAGATTGGAGTATTGAAGGGGTGTAAATAATGTAAATAGATTGGAGTATTGAAGGGGGGTGTAAATAAAGTCAATAGATTGGAGTATTGAAGGGGTGAAAATAACGTCAATAGATTGGAGTATTGAAGGGGTGTTAATAACGTCAATAGGTTGAAGTATTGAAGGGGTGTAAATAGCATAGATAGATTGGAGTATTGAAGGGGTGTAAATAAAGTCAATAGATTGGAGTATTGAAGGGGTGAAAATAACTTCAATAGATTGGAGTATTGAAGGGGTGTAAATAAAGTCAATAGATTGGAGTATTGAAGCGGTGTAATTAACCTCAATAGATTGGAGTATTGAAGGGGTGTAAATAGCATAAATAGATTGGAGTATTGAAGGGGTGTAAATAAAGTCAATAGGTTGGAGTATTGAAGGGGTGTAAATAAAGTCAATAGATTGGAGTATTGAAGGGGTGAAAATAACTTCAATAGATTGGAGTATAGAAGGGGTGTAAATAAAGTCAATAGATTGGAATATTGAAGGGGTGTAATTGACCTCAGTAGATTGGAGTATTGAAGGAGTGTAAATAAAGTCAATAGATTGGAGTATTGAAGGGGTGAAAATAACTTCAATAGATTGGAGTATTGAAGGGGTGTAAATAAAGTCAATAGATTGGAATATTGAAGGGGTGTAATTGACCTCAGTAGATTGGAGTATTGAAGGAGTGTAAATAAAGTCAATAGATTGGAGTATTGAAGGGGTGTAAATAACGTCAATAGGTTGGAGTATTGAAGGGGTGTAAATAAAGTCAATAGATTGGATTATTGAAGGGGTGTAAATAAAGTCAATAGATTGGAGTATTGGAGGGGTGTAAATAAAGTCAATAGGTTGGAGTATTGAAGGGGTGTAATAAAGTCAATAGAGTGGAGTATTGAAGGGGTGTAAATAAAGTCAATAGGTTGGAGTATTGAAGGGGTGTATATAACGTAAATAGATTGGTGTATTGAAGGGGGGTGTAAATAAAGTCAATAGATTGGAGTATTTAAGGGGTGTAAATAAAGTCAATAGATTGGAGTATTGAAGGGGTGTAAATAAAGTCAATAGATTGGAGTATTGAAGGGGTGTATATAACGTAAATAGATTGGTGTATTGAAGGGGGGTGTAAATAAAGTCAATAGATTGGAGTATTTAAGGGGTGTAAATAAAGTCAATAGATTGGAGTATTGAAGGGGTGTAAATAAAGTCAATAGATTGGAGTATTGAAGGGGTGTATATAACGTAAATAGATTGGTGTATTGAAGGGGGGTGTAAATAAAGTCAATAGATTGGAGTATTGAAGGGGTGTAAATAAAGTCGAATAGATTGGAGTTTGAAGGGGTGTAAATAAAGTCAATAGGTTGGAGTATTGAAGGGGTGTAAATAACGTCAATAGGTTGAAGTTAATTGAGTTTCTTCCCTTGGATTAAAGAAACAAATGTTTTTACAAATTCTCCCAATTTGAATGATACTTGTTACACAGAACACTTGCATAAAGATGGATGTGAATACAGTATAGAATAGAGTATTTATATAGATGTAGTTATGCCCCTTTGTTTAAAACATTTTTAGGTCACCTGAGACAAAGTCTCAAGTGACCTATTGCGATCGCCTTTTGTCAGTCGTCGTCCGTCGTCCGTCGTCCGTCGTCCGTCGTGCGTCCGTAAACAATTTACATTTTCGACTCCTTCTCCAAAACCACTGAACCAATATCAATGAAATTTTGCAGGAACCTTCCATGGACAAAGGTCAAAATTTCAAAAATCTTCTTCTCAAGACCCAGATATGGTAGAATCAAATACTCTTCATAGATGGAAGGGTCTTAAGGTGCTTTACAAAATTTGTGAATTTCTTGACCCTGGGGTCTCACGTTTTCCCCTGGGGAGGGGGTAAACTTTACTATAGTTTATATAGGGAAATCACATTTTGGACCAACATTTGTTTAATTTCCATTGGAAGTAATTCAATTTAGGTTAGC